GGTGGGCGGGCGGGGCCGTGGGGGCGGGGGCGTCGCGGGTACTCCGCTGTGGCCGCCTAGGCGCCGTGCTGGGCGGGCGGGGGGCTCGCGTCCTGCGTGGGACCGCTCACCTCTCCCCGTTTGCTCTTAATCGCCGCGTTCGCTTATTTTGCGTCATCTCTCAGGGTTATAAAGCCACCCTCACAGCCAATAGGTCATTTAATATATAAAATGACCCCTGTACATAAGGGACTAGTATCCAGGACACATAGAGAACTCTTGTAATTCAATAATAATAGACAAATATTCCCATTTAAATATGGACAAAGGATTTGAATAGACGCTTCCCCAGAGAAGTGAAACAAATGGCAGATAAACACATAAAAAAAGTTTGAGGCCCAGCTGTGGTGGCACAGACTGCTAAGAGGGAGCCCCAGGTTCAATGCCCAGTCCAGTCTTAAGTCTGGGCACAGGGGCATGGGCCTAAAGTCCCAGCCACTCAGGAGGATTATGAGCTTGAGGCTGGCCTGAACAAAAAGGTGAGACTATCTGAAACAGGCAGGCATGGTGGTAAGCGTCTGTGGTCCCAGCTGCTTGAGAGGCTGAGGCAGAAGGATTGTGATATATGGAGACACTTTTTAAATTTAAGTTAATATCCTTGGTCATTTATAAAATGCAGATTTAAACCACTGTAAGATACCACTTCTGGCCAGCTAGGTAGCATCCCAGTTAAGGTGGCTGGATCTCACATGGAAGGAGTTCAAGTCCTAGACTTGGCAGCTTGAAGTACATACTAGGCACATGTGCGACCATACTCAGAATCCAGAGAGGAGAATGAAAGAGAAATCCTTCTTGGGGGGGGGGTGCATTCTCACTTTCCCTTGCTCTATCTCTCTGGAGACTATACATGCCTTATAGCAAATTAAAAAACAAACAAAAACAAAAAACAGCACTTTTGAATTGAGTGCTTATTTTGTGTTAGGTACCCATTATCTCTACTGCTCTACAATGGGGTCACCAACATTTTTGGCACCATGGATCAATTGCATGGAAAACAACTTTCCCATAGACCAGAGGGTGGGAGGGATGGTTTGAGGATGATTCAAGCACATTACATTTATTGTGCACTATATTTCTGTAATTATTACACTGTGATATATAAGGGGAAAAATTATACAACTTACCATTAATGTAGTATTTCCAGCCATTTCTCAGTGCTAGCATCACCTCTGCAGCTCCATCGCAGATCATTTGGCATTAGATTGTCATAAGCAGCATGCAACCTAGATCCCTCACATATGTAGTTTATAAATAGAGTTCGTGCTCCTATGAAAATCTAAGGCCCCCATTGATCTGATGGGCAAAGCTCAGGTAATAATGTGAGGGATGCAGAGCAACTACAAATATAGCTGAAACTTCACTCACCAACTGCTTACTTCATTCTGTATAGCCTGGTTCCTAACAGGGTTGGGGACTTCCTGCTCAACAACAATCCAGATAAAGACATTGAGCATCAAAGAACATAGGCACTTGCAGCCAGTAAATGATATAGTCAGGATTCAAACTCAGCTTTTCCTGTTATAATACACTGCCTCTCTATATTTCTTATATATTCCTTAATGTTTATTAATGTACAGTGTACCAGGTATTACTCCAGCTTCCTCACATGGATTATCTTTTATTTATTTATTTATCTGCCTTAGGGTACATGTGCTTGCCAGAGAGATAGAAAGAGGGAAAATGAGGGACCAGCAGTTGGCATAGTGGCTATGTTGTTAGACTCCCATGTGGTCGACCGCAGTTCGAGTCTTTGACCTGGTAGCTTAAACTCATACCAGGTGTGTGTGTGTGCATGCCCGAGAGTAGAATGGAGAAGAAGAGATCACGGCATGGCCATCTCCCCTGGGGGGTGATTTCTCACTTTCGGTCTCTCTGTCTGTGTCTTTCTGGTGAGTGCACGGGGCCTAAAAAAAAAACCCCCAAAAAAAAAAAAAAAAAAAAAAAAAAAAAAGAGAAAAGAAAAGAAATCTAGGCAGTGCCCAAAATTCTAAGAGAAAGGATTACAGGATGGCCATTACCTCCACCCCCATGATTTTTCACTTCTTCTCTCATTGTCTCTCTCCCATGAGCACACATGCCTTATGGCAAAAACCTTTAAAAAAAATTAGTAAGACACAGACCTTGCCTTAACGAAGCTCACTGTCTTCTTTTTGTTGTTGTTGTTTGTTTGCTATAGGGTGTGTGCACTTGTAGAAGGACAGAGAGAGATTGGGAAAGGGGGAAATCACCCCGTGCAGCAGTTCTTTTCCATGCTCCTCTCAGGATTTTGGACACACATGCCTGGTGTGTCACTGTCTTCTTTACCAAATGAAAACACAGGGCACATGAACCAACTGGTGGCTTGGCGGGTAAGACAATTGGATCCTATATGCCCTATGGCATGGTTTGAGAAACACTCTGGTACCTAAAATCAGAGAATGGAGTTGAGGAGGTGTGGTGGTTAAGGGTGTGGTGGTGTGGTGGTTAAGGGTGCTGGACTCTCACATGGCCAACTGTAGTTAGAGTCCTGGACCTGGCGGCTTGCTTTCTTGCTTTCTCTGTCTCTCTCTCTGTCCCTCTCTGGTCAAATGGAAAGAGAGAAAGAAAGAGAAAGAAAGTAAGAAAGAAACAAAGAAAGTTAAATAAAATAGTTCTTAAAAAAATGGAGTTGAAAACGTTGTGCAGTGGTCATCCTCCCCGAGAAGTGTTTTCTCTCTCTCTGGTGAACTCACGCGTTTTTTTTTTACAAAATAAATAAATACAGGACACTTAAATCTGAATCTCAGATAAACATGGAATAATTTGTAGTGTATATCCCATGCAATGGACTCTGGGGATAGGAGGGACTATAATGTAATGTAAATACTATAAAAAAGCGTTCAAATGGGACCAGCAGTTAGCGTAATGGCTATGTCGGTGAACTCCCATTTAGTCAACTGTGGTTCGAGTCTCAGACCCGGTGGCTTAAACTCACCCCGGGCGCGTGTGCATGCGTGCCCAAGATCCCGAGAGGAGAATGGAGAAGAAGGTATTGCAGCGTGGCCATCCCACCCCTGGGGGCGCGGGGGGGGGGTGATTTCTCGCTTTCTGTCTCTCTGTCTCTCTGGAGAGCGCCCGTGCCCTATAGCAAAAACCTCTCCAAAAAAAAAAAAAGAAAAAAGAAAAAAGCGTTCAAAGCTTTGTGGAATATTCCTGGAGAGCGCGTCGAAATCCCTATTAGACTGATGTAGGAGGATAGTGCAAAGACCCTTGTCCTGGAGAGAAAGGCAGAGCTCTCCAGACTGGAGGGCCAAGGCCATAGGAACCAAAGTCTATCAGCCCACTTAGCTTCCTACGGCCGCTAGATGCTGCAACAGACGCAGTCACTGAAACCATAGACAAACAGGCGACGCGGGTGCCCAGAGAGGCTTTACCAGGTCGCCTTGATCTCCTTCCTGTGCATAGAGAGACTCCACTGGAAGAGGTGTAGCCGGCGGGCGAAATCTCGCGAGAGCGAGTTAATCTCGCGATCTTTGTTTTTATTTATTTATTTTTATTGCCTAGCGACCCGCAGCAGGCTATTTCCTCGAGGTAGACTCCCTAAAGTGGCCTGGCCTGGGTTTGGAGACCCCCGCCCTAGGCTGGGGTTCTTTCCATATAGAGGAGACGGATTCAGAGGGGCTACAGGTAATTCGTACCCACCCCAGCAGAAAGGAGACTGCCTTCCTCCCTCCCAAGAGGAATTTGAGAGGACTCTCTTCCCGGGCTCCCCGTTACCTCTCCCCAAGTCCGACAGCCATCCTGCTTCTTTTACTCCCCAAGAAATTTAAGTGGGATCCGATCTGCAAGACAAGGGTGGAGACAAGGGTAACGCTGTCAGGATTACTGGATGGGACAGAGAATCAGAAGTTACCCTCTCTTCAGGGAACACCCCCTTCGCCCCTGAGCTGACCCCAGAGATAGAATTCTTTCTAGAGCCTCGAGCCTTTCTCATCTCCCCCGAGAAACCCCAATAGCCTTGGGAAAACCGACCGAACCCGAGGAGAGAGCCATCTGTATACACACGAATCTGTTCTGCCCTTGCGCGTGTATCTTACAGCTTTGGGGAGCTGCTGCAGAAGTTGGCTGTCGTTTCCCTGCACGAGTCCCTCGGTCCTCAGCCAGCCTGCCAGCAGTTCCTACATAAGGGCTGCCGCAGAGTGACCTAACTGCTTGACCTGGGGCCAAGAAGCCTTAAGGAAAGTTTGGATGGGGGTAAAGATTTTATGCAAACCTAGTGTCTTGGGTAAGGATGAGGAGCCAGTGCTGGTCTGGAATGCACCTCCTGGCAGAATGCTTACTGTCCCATGATATGAGCTATGTAATCATGTCTCCTTCTGCTTAGACCAAGATTGTGGAAAACCAGACTTATGATGAGCGGCTAGAAATTAATGACTCTGAAGAGGTTGCAAGTATTTATACTCCAGCCTCAAGACACCAAGGTAAGAGGGGAATGAGGAAAGAAGAGAAGATGGTACTCAAGCCAGAGAACTGGATGGATTTATGTTTGTCTTCAGGACTTCCTTTTTATAATAGCAAAAGTTGAGTATGAGAGAAAATTACTGATACTTCAGTTGGTATTGTTTCTGTGTTCTAACTAGTTCAGAGGGGAAAAACCAGTCTTCTAGATTACAGAATCTTCCTCCAACCCTATCATGTCACAGTTTACTTCATGTTGCTCCTCTGCTCAGAGTCTGCCAGAGATTCATGGCTTTTCTTCTTGTTCTTTTTTTTTTTTTTTTTTAAGAGAGATTTTTTGCTATAGGGCATGTGTGCTTTGCCAGAGAGACAGAGAGAGACAGAAAGCAAACAATGAAACAATCACTCCTGGGTGGGATGGCCATGCCATAATCCCTTCTCTTCCATTCTCCTCTCAGGGATTTGGGCATGCATGCAAACGTGCCCAGTGTGAGTTTTAAGTCACTAGGTCTGGAACTTGAACCAGGGTTCACTACATGCGTGTCTAGTGATGTAACCAGCACACCATTATGCCATCGGCTGGTCCCTTGCTTTTGTTTTTAATGATTTGCTAATAGGGAGGGGACCAGTTGATGGCATAATGGTGTGTGTGTGTGTGTGTGTGTGTGTGTATGTGTGTGTGTATGTATAAATTTGACTAGAGAGAGAGACAGACAGAGAGGGTAAGTGCCACCATGTCCAGGACTCAAACCATTGTCAACCATGTGGGAGTCCAGTACCCTAATCACCGTGGTACCTGCTGTCCCCTCAATATAGTATTTTTAGAGGACTTGACACCAGTCATTTATTAAAGATTTTCAAATGCCCGGTATGTGCCAGTCTTATGCCTGGTACTGAGGACATAGTGTTAGACAAAAGCACATTGTATTTCTGTCCTGATGCTTGTAATCATAGGAAACAGATGACAAATGAATAAACAAACATAATTACAAATGTGTTGAGCGCATCAATGGAGGCAAATTGTTTGCTGTTAGGAGAATAATGGTGAGGAGGAGTCCTCCTTTTTATTTTATTTTCTTCTTGTTCTTTTTTTTTTTTTTTTTTAAGAGAGATTTTTTGCTATAGGGCATGTGTGCTTTGCCAGAGAGACAGAGAGAGACAGAAAGCAAACAATGAAACAATCACTCCTGGGTGGGATGGCCATGCCATAATCCCTTCTCTTCCATTCTCCTCTCAGGGATTTGGGCATGCATGCAAACGTGCCCAGTGTGAGTTTTAAGTCACTAGGTCTGGAACTTGAACCAGGGTTCACTACATGCGTGTCTAGTGATGTAACCAGCACACCATTATGCCATCGGCTGGTCCCTTGCTTTTGTTTTTAATGATTTGCTAATAGGGAGGGGACCAGTTGATGGCATAATGGTGTGTGTGTGTGTGTGTGTGTGTGTGTATGTGTGTGTGTATGTATAAATTTGACTAGAGAGAGAGACAGACAGAGAGGGTAAGTGCCACCATGTCCAGGACTCAAACCATTGTCAACCATGTGGGAGTCCAGTACCCTAATCACCGTGGTACCTGCTGTCCCCTCAATATAGTATTTTTAGAGGACTTGACACCAGTCATTTATTAAAGATTTTCAAATGCCCGGTATGTGCCAGTCTTATGCCTGGTACTGAGGACATAGTGTTAGACAAAAGCACATTGTATTTCTGTCCTGATGCTTGTAATCATAGGAAACAGATGACAAATGAATAAACAAACATAATTACAAATGTGTTGAGCGCATCAATGGAGGCAAATTGTTTGCTGTTAGGAGAATAATGGTGAGGAGGAGTCCTCCTTTTTATTTTATTTTTTTTAGTTTTGCTATAAGACATGTACATTTGCCAGAGACAGAGAGAAAGAAAAAGGGAAAGTGGAAAATCACTCCCCAGGGTGGGTGCCATGCTGCAATCACCTTTCCTCCATTCTCTTGGGATTTTGGGCGTGCATGCACACATGCCTGGCATGATTTTAAGCTGCTGGGTCCAGGACTTAAACCATAGTCAGCCATGTGAAATTCAGCACCTTAACCACCACGCCACTTGCTGGCCTGGTTTGTCCTTTTCTGGCTGACTCCTTTCACTTAGCATGTTTTTAGGGGTGATCTGTGTTGTAGCATGTGAGAATTACTTTTCTTTTCTTTTCTTTTTCTTTCTTTCTTTCTTTCTTTCTTTCTTTCTTTCTTTCTTTCTTTCTTTCTTTCTTCCTTCCTTCCTTCCTTCCTTCCTTCCTTCCTTCCTTCCTTCCATTCTT